AAGGAGGAAAGCATATTACTGAAATTAAGTTGTATAATATTGGATCCAGAACAGTGCTCTCATGGTTGATCCTAGCTGGGGTAATTTCTCTGAATGATGTCATTCAATATCGGAACCCCAAGGATGATGCTATAATTAAAGATGGTCTTGTTTCCTTGGATGGAATAACCTGCAAGTGTTGCAACAGGGTGCTATCAGTTTCTGAGTTTAAGATTCATGCTGGATTCAAGTTTAACCGTCCCTGCTTGAATCTTTTCATGGAATCTGGTAAGCCTTTCACGTTATGTCAGCTGCAAGCATGGTCTGCTGAGTACAAGACCAGAAAAAATGGGATCCAGAAGGTGGAAGCTGACGAAAATGATCGAAATGATGATTCCTGTGGTCTATGTGGGGATGGTGGTGAACTGATTTGCTGTGACAACTGCCCTTCTACTTTTCATCTGGCTTGCCTGTATATGCAGGTTTGTCCTTTCTTCTGTGTTTTTTTGCACTGATCTGCACTTTTTTTGGTCATAACTTATCTGCAATCTCTATTGTTCTCCTTAGTTTGTTTTCCTTTTCTTGCAGCTTCACTAATTTTACTTATCTCAAATATATATGCCTAGTCTTACTTATCGTTGTTTAGTCTTGCAAATTTCTTTTGCAGTTATGAAGGGCTATTCTTGGTAAAATTTCATTTTTGATTGCAAACATGCTATATGTTATTTTAACTTTGGAGCTTGTAATAGGACATACAGTGTAAGTAGCAATCATAATTTTGAAACCGATCTAGTTTGCCTCTATGACAATAAAATTTGAGCAAGTTTAAGCTATGTCATCTTTTGCATTTGCATGATTAGATATCTGGCTCTAGAATAATAATTCTAGTTGAGATATTGCCTAGTAAATGCTTATCCCTGTTGAAAGAGCTGTATGATTGAATATAATGTTTCATAGACAGCAGCATAATGAGCTTTAAGAATAACAAGATAGACAAGTGAGAATCATGTAGGTGCTGTGCATTTTGAGCGATAGATTTAACCGATGATTTGTTAATGGAGTTTAAGTTCAGGAGTCCAATAGCAGGCGTCTTATATTTGTACAAGACTGAGAACATCAAAAACAGCCACGACAATATCGATGCTTACATTTTGTACATAAAACAAGTTGTGATTTTCTCTTTCTTGTATAAAGAAATTTATTTTGTGTACAATATGTATCACGTAGCAAATGTAAATTTACTAGTTTGTTCTCTTGACTGCCCTGATTCAGTTCAAACCATACAAGATGGTCTTCTTTTCCTCTGTATTCTTATTCTATAGTCTCATAAATGTCGGTAAAAACTTTCCTCTCTTCTTTGTTTTAATTTTCTATCTAAATGTTTCCTTTTGGCTTTGAAGGCATATAAACATACTAGTGAAGAATGCTTTTTCCCCTTATTCTACGGTTGGGTAGTATTTGCTCTTGGTATTATGACTTAGTTTCGCTTCTGTGTTCTAGAGATCATGGAGATTACTCTAATTTCTTTGTTTTGTTTTTCCCTTCCAAGTGTGTTGCTTTATTATAGGTTTCCCTTCTTTCTTTTTTTCCAAATTACTAATTACTTCATGTGCTCTAATTTTTTTTGCTTGCAGGAACTACCTGAGGGCAATTGGTATTGCTCAAATTGCACTTGTTGGATTTGTGGGAATTTTGTTAATGATAAAGAGGCTTCAAGTTCGATTGATGCATTCAAATGTTTACAGTGTGAGCACAAATGTAATTCTTCCCCCTTCAGTATGACATTTCCTCTGAAAAGTTTAGATTTTTATGAAGACAGTCTACAGTTTCTTAAAATATGATTTAGACTAAAAATCTTACCTTTAATTTGAGGCAAGCTACTACTTGCTGGTCTTAAAGAACCCTTATCTTTTGATTGTTTCTTGATATAGTTTTCTCAGTGAGCACAAGGAAGCAGAGAAAAGAACTGTAGTGGCTTGAAAGCTTGGAAATAAATGCAAAAGTATATAACTTTTTGTTCAAATTGGAGTTGGTTATTTCTGTTGTAGAGTGTAACATGAAGAACCTTTATAACGCCTTTTTCTCAGCATGAAGTTCTTGATTGTTTTTCTTAACTTAAAGCTTTTTGTTGAAATTGCAATTTGACCCTTTTATATTAGCTTAAAAGATTTAGGCTTTTCTTCCTTTTTTTTTTTTGCTTTCATATTGTTTCTAAGTATGCACAAACCCATATCCCTAATTGATAGTTATGCATCCAATGCATAATGGAGTGCAGTTGAGTAAGCGTCTCTGCCATAATCCAATATTGCTACGTAAATGTCTTACTATTCTCTGTTTTTTTTTTAATAAAAATCACCAGGAAATATAAATCTCCTCTCAGGACTTGAAGTAGTTGTTTCATGAAATCATTATGGACAATATACACATTTACCATTTTAAGTTTGTTTTGTTTGCTTGTTTGTGTGTGTGTGCGCGCACACGCACTTGTTATGATGCTTCTCTTTGTGATTTGTGTTTCTAATTTTCTAGCTATCATAACATTTGTAAACAGATCATAAGGCATGCCTCAATGCTAAAAGTCAGTTTGAAGAAAAGGTTTCTGATACTTGGTTTTGCGGGGGAAGCTGCGAGGAGGTACTTTTGAGATTCAAACTTCTTGACTCTAATTATTTTGTTAAGAATATGTTGAATTTAGCATATAGAGAATGTTTTATGTATTCTGTGCATGAGTTCGACTCTTTTCCCTTTTGTGGCTTGTTTTTGTGAATATCTGGTTATTTTAAATCGGCAATTTGGTAGGTGTGGGATGGAACATCCCTTTCTCATCCCAGTGCAAGTTAAAGTTGAGCTGCCTGGACCTGACTGCACCCTGAAAAGAAAGCAGGGGTTTGAAGCAGCTCTTTCATTTTAGTCCATGAGCTGCATAATAAATGCTGTCATTTGCAGCTTTGTTGGGCAAATGCAGGCAACATCTAAATTTCAATGTGGTCCAAACTGTTTATGTAGAAAATGCTCTATATTGATTAAAGAATGACATTTAGACACAATATGGTCAAGTCAACATCAACCACATGTCAGTCTCTATGAAGATTACTTCCCAATGACATTTCTTCAAAGGCTATATCATCATCCCTTTTAAAATTTTGCATGCAAGACCACATGATAACAGTACTCATCCATGCACTGCAGCCTTAGCCTATGCACTGAACCCAAATCTTCTTCTAATCACTCTCTTTAATCCAATGTTTATGGAGTAAGAACTTGCTGAAACTATTTAACTAGGTTTGGGCTAGGCCAAACCAGGAAGCTTCAGTAAGTACCCTTTCTACCTCTAACTTGTTTGTCCTTTTCTTCTTGCTCCCTTTTAAATAAATGGCAGCCACCTTGAATTGCTATTCTAAAATCTGCTTGCGCAACTAGGTTTTGTACCCTCTCATCTCTTCTATTGCTTATTTCCCATATTATTTAGGTCTGGCCTGTTTTTGTGTAGGTTATTGCAGTTCTGTCCCTTAGCCTGTTTTGCTTAACATTTTGGAATTTGATTGTTAGTCTCACGTAGACCTAGGAAATTTTGGTTGCTTGCCTCTACAAGCTGATGGAACCTTTGCTTAGAATTCTGCTATAATGAATTTGCATTTTGATGTTATAGTTGTTCCTCTGTTTATCCTGTTTTTAGAATATTTGCCTGATGCAACAATATTGGTGTGAGTAACTTAGTTAAAGGGATTCAGTCCGCCAGTTTTGTATTGTGTTGACCTCCAGGGTCCTGCTCCTTGGATTCCTTTTCCTTTCGTTTCAAGATCATATTATTAAAGAATGTTACTATTGAGAAAGGAAAATGGTGGAAGTTTGGATCCTTTCTTCTTTGTTAGTGTGCATCATCTAGTCAACAAGGAGAGATCCGCAAGGTCAAATACCTTCTAATTTTCTCTTCTACTCTTTTCTTTAATAAGTGATTGGTGTCTTCCTTTTTGATAGTTGTGTAGCCAATAATGCCTGCATTTATGTTTCCACTATGCTAAGTTTTGTTTAATGTATACTTATTTCCAATTAAAAGCACTTGTTCTTGCATTTTTAGCTATGCTACATCTCAGCTATTGAACTTAAGATGCATGTGATTCATGTCAACTCAAGTGTTCCAATCCTGCCATCATAAAAGACCTTACCTTTAAATGATCATTTGTTGTCTACTGTACTATAACTCTCACTGCACTACCCATTTTTTTAACCTAAAAGGCAATCAGTTGCTGCATAGATGTTGGCTATGATTGTTTAGCTACAACAGTTAGATGGTTGCTGTTTTCCACGTATTTGCATTCTAAGTTCTGATACAAGGTTAACTGATATTTGCAGGTGCACTCATGTCTTAGTTCTTGTCTTGGGATGATTAATCACCTTGCTGAAGGCTTTTCTTGGACACTTCTTCGATGTATTCATGAAGATCAAAAATTTCACTCTGCTCTAAGGTTTGCCCTGAAGGCAGAGTGCAACTCAAAACTGGCTGTTGCTCTGTCCATCATGGAAGAATGCTTTCAGTCTATGGTTGATCCCAGAACAGGGGTAGACATGATACCCCATCTCTTGTACAATTGGGGGTGAGACACCTGGCCTTTCTGATAACCTTCCTTGGCTTTTACATTTCTACACAATCGTTTTCTTTTTTTTTTGACTCCTTTTACTGCCTAACATTTGATCACTACATTGTTTTATAGTTTGTACTTAAAATTCTGTTCATTTCATGCTCTGTCATCATGAACATCTATTTTGTAGCCACACTGGTTTTTTAAGTTCATTTCTTTTAAATTTCAGTGTCATCAAGTCTTTGACCTGTCTCATTCTATGCCACTCACAATTTTTTTCTGGTTGCAAGGTTGCTTATAATTTGCTTCTATAGGCTGAGCCCTGCCCCTATCCTATTTGGTTAGATCCCTATTGGGAGTTAATGGCCTAACTGAAATAAATCCATCTTGGTTTTAATCTTGTGTGTTCATGCATTTGAATTCTGTCTTCTATATGATTTATAGAGAGTGGCAAGGCTAGGATTATCTACCAGAGAAATGGGAAAAGATTATTGGATAAAAATATAAACAATAATAAAAGGAGTTCTTTTAATGAATGATTATTATTAAAAGTACTTATATGCTTCCTTGCAGTTGCTCGAAGCTGGTAAGCAAACAGAATGTTTTTTAGCAAAATTCGTGTTTACTAACATGCTTTTGTTGTTTGTAAATGATCAGGTCAGATTTTGCACGCCTGAATTTTTTTGGATTTTACTCTCTTGTCTTGGAGAAGGATGATGTGGTGATATCTGTAGCATCCATCAGGTAGTATTGATATTGTCCAAAGGTTTTGGTTATTTAAATAATTTTTTTAAAAAACAACTCATAACATATCATAATGTTATGCGATCCCTTCTTTCTTGCCGAATGTGATATGAGAACAAGTTTTGACAACAAATACTTTCTCTTTATCCAAATATATATATATATATATATATATCTAGTGATGTGTTGGTGTGACATTTGTTAGCATCTATGTTTTAAAAAAAGTTGAAACCTATCTGCTATAACTTATATGGTTGGTTATAGTTGGGAAGCATTGAGGTTTTTGTGCATGATTGATTGGGGTGGATTAATTCTGTCTGGTTGAATTTTCATGATAATGTGAATGAAGACTTGAAATCTATAGATCTGTAAATTTGTTTTAAGCCCCAACCATTCAATTTTGCCTTTTCTTCCTCCAGCCTGGTTTATTAAGCCAATATCTCACGTATTTTAAGATTTATGATATCTTAGTGAGTTCGGAGCCTTCTACTTGGTCCACAGTCTATTTTACTTTCAGTCTTTCTCTGTCATTTGGTCTAGGATACATGGGGTAACAGTTGCAGAGATGCCTCTTATTGCAACTTGTAGCAACTACCGTCGTCAAGGAATGTGTCGACGCCTTATGACTGTTATTGAAGAGGTATTATCTCTTGGCAGTATGTTCAAATATTATGCACAAGTTGTTTGTCATTGGAATTTAACTTTGTAAATCCCTCACAGTTGATCGACTTTATTGCTTATGATTTTTCATATGAATCCTATTTGTGACTTAATTTCTTTGTTTTGTTCGCTGTCTGGATAAATGCTGCCTCTAGATGCTCATCTCATTCAAGGTGGAAAAGCTTGTGATAACTGCCATTCCAAATTTGGTGGAAACATGGACTGAGGGTTTTGGCTTCAAGCCAGTGGAGGATGATGAAAGAAAAACACTTAGTAAGATCAACTTGATGGTGTTTCCTGGAACGGTATTGCTTAAGAAGCCCTTGTATCAATTCCAAGAAGCAGATGGACAGTCAGGTAGCTTCATTTTCTCTTAAAGTTCATTGTTCTTCAAGTTCTAGAGAAACAAATTTGATTTCCATGGTTATGCATGAGCAGGTGATACATCATCTTTGCAACAAGATAAATCAACTGAACATTTGAGAAAAGAAGAATCAACTAATGTAGGCATTCATCCTGTAGGAAATCGATCAGCCAAGTCTGTACAGCCTTTTGGTGATAACTGCTATGCAAATGAAGCCTGTGCCAAAGTAGAAACTGAGCTTGTAGGAGACAAGAATGAGCAAGAATTGGAAATTGATGGAAAAAAGGAAATCACTGATGGTGTTGTTGAGGAGCCATGCGATAAATCAGCCTTAAGAGATTTAGAAACTACTAGATTAGGTATATGTACTAAGGGACAGCATGTAGCTGAATCTATACATTGGTCTGACAGTAATTGTTGCTCCAAAGATGTTGGGACTGAGCTCGAAGACAGGCTTAGAGTTGGGTCTTCTCAAGAATACCCTGCTGCAGAAACTAACTCTGCATCCCAATCGGATGGTTGCTGTTGCGACGATGAAGCTGGTGCTGAATCAAAAGTGGAGTCTGTGCAGCAATCAGATTGCCTTTGTTTAGATAACCGTAGCGCTGAAACGGATGATCAGGTAGTTGAAGAAGAGAATATACAAGTAGTTGAGGGTCGAGCAAGTAGTTTGCAGGAACAATTTTCAGAGGTGTCCTGTGAAATGCCAGATTCGGCATTAGTTTCTAGTGTTAAGACATGTATTTATAACGAGACACTGGTTTCTTTAGAGGAACAGCTGCAGAAAGACTGTGAGTTGGATGTTAAGTAGCAATAAAATTGTAAATTGAGGAAAATCTCATGCTTTTTGCCCCCATCTTTTCAGGTTTGGCCACAGTTATAGCAAAGATTTCCATCACCAGTTACACCATATGAACCCAATTCTTCTCTCATAGACCAGGGCCAGAATATCAATGGAAAATGCAGCAGGAAAGAAGTCATATTTGGCTAAAGAGAATTAAATGCTTAATGACCCAAAACTCTAGGAAGAAGGTTAAATGTCCCTTGATGTATTAGGAGTCATCATCTATAGGTGGTTAGATGTTTTCTTGTACAGGAAGCATGACTTAATAAATTAAGCACAACTTTCATATAAGTCTTTCCAGTGATAGTTAGACTGTCTCTTTCTCATCAGAAGAGACTGAAGAAAGCAATAGAATGAGAAAAGGGCAACCAAATGCACTTCCATGCATTGTGTGTATAATATTATTAAAATCATAAAATTCTTTCTTCTCATCTTTCAACAAAAATACTATCTTCCTCATTTTCTTCTAACCCATAATGGATCAATTATTACTTCTGAGATAACATTATAGACATAATATCTAAGAAACCTTCAAAACTGTTCAAATTTTTTTTAATAAATTTTAATTTTTTGTTATATTTAATTATATTTGTATATTTTTATTTTAAATTAAATTATCTTTATAAGTAATAGTTGGTTAATTTTTGTTAATTAAAATATTATTTATTATTTTATATCAGGTGACTTATTAATCATGTGATAACAAAATGATTAATAATAATTAATTAAAAGTTAATTATAAGAATCTATTTTAATTTAAAATAAAAATAAAAATATTTGAATGAATGTAATAAAAAATGAAAAATCATTGAAAAGTTTTAAATAATTTAAAAACTGTTTCAAATATTATACTTTACATGTAACGTCACGTTACATTTGAAAAATGAATTGGACCAAGAATTGAAAATCATTGGACCCGTACCCGAAACCCAAACCCATAAGCCCAAAGATCCATATAACTACCAATAACGGCAGATCAAATCAAACAGGTCTGGGAAACCAACAGGTTTTCTTCACTTTGTCACTCTCTCACTCCTGTCCATTTTACTTCCCTTCCACTCCAAATGAAACCTTCCTTGCTCTCCTAAACCACTTCCCACCTCCCCAATATCCCCAATCACAGCTATGCCATCATCTCCCAAATTCTTCAATGCGCGCACCCCGTCGCCGGCCATGCTCCCCACCAGGTCAACGGTCCTGATCTTCTCCGCCCTCCTCGTCTTCGCCATCGTCTCTTTCCTCTTCGCCCTCTCCTCTTTCCTTTCCTCCGATGGATCCGGTTACCGATGCCGGAGCTCCGACCCGAGATCCGTCCGGGTTCTTTGGGACAGAGCAGGGAATGGGAATAATGGTGTTGCCGGTGGAGATGACGATAATGGGACGAAGAGGCATAAAGTTATGGGCTTTGTTGGGATCCAAACCGGGTTCGGTTCGACCGGTCGGAGACGGTCCTTGAGGAAAACTTGGATGCCTTCGGATCGTCAAGGCCTTCAACGGTATGTAAAAGTTTTTGAAATAGTAGTATAATTTTTAAAAAACCTTATAATTAGGGTGATTTTAGTTCTAATTTATTTTGAAATGAAATTAATTGCATTTTCGTTTCGATTTTAGAAGAGAACGATTAAACTTGAATTACCGTTATATTTTAAATACATTTCAAAAAAAAAAACGTTATATTTTACATATTTGTTCATCCGTTAATCAAATATAATTTAATTTTAAACTTTTTTTTTTCCATTTCTTTTTCAGGTTGGAAGAAGCAACAGGATTAGCTTTTAGGTTTATAATCGGTAGAACAAATGACAAGTCAAAGATGGCGGAGCTGAAAGAAGAAGTTGCAGAATATGATGATTTCCTGCTGTTAGATATCCAGGAGCAGTACAGTAAGCTTCCATACAAAACGTTAGTTCTTTGTCAAATAGTTTAGTTATATCTGTTGGTCATGTTATTCTTTGAAAGAAAATTGCTTACTTAGAATTTATGCTTCAGGTTAGCATTCTTCAAAGCTGCGTATGCACTCTTTGATTCTGAGTTTTACGTCAAAGCTGATGATGATATATATTTGAGGCCAGGTGACTTGGTTTATTAACTCTGTTATGCGTGCGTTGGGTGGTGTTCTTTACCTTAATAGTGCAGCTTTATATGGTTAGTTAACAAAGTTGTGCTACATATTTCAGATCGACTATCACTTCTATTAGCAAAAGAACGTTCTCACTCGCAGACTTACCTTGGATGCATGAAAAAGGGGCCAGTATTTACTGATCCAAAATTGAAATGGTTAGTTCTGGTATATTTACTGTTTTAATCTATGTTTTAGATATCTCTTTTAACTGCTTCCTTGCTTTGTGTTTCATGTGAGTGTTTCTCCTTAGTTGAGGTGGTGCCTTCTTGCTGTAAATTGATATAAGAGAGGATAGTTTGCTATTTTTGGGGTTTTTTTTTGAATAGATGCTATCTTTGGTTGATATGGCATCTATTAAAATCTCTAAAAACATTTTATTAAGGGCACAAATGTTGAGGAAAAGTCAGGAAAGCACATTTTTTTGGGTGTTTTAAGCTATGATAGTAGGAAAGGACCTTAAAGATCCAAAAGTTATTTAAAAACAGATCAGTCAAAGTGGGCTGCAAATCTACTCACTATCAATCAGTTTGTAGAATTTTAGGCCTTTTGAGAGTTGTACTTCTCCCCACTTCTTCAGTTATAATGGCACACCAACGGTTGTGACTGCAAGGGTAGCAGAGAAATTTTGTTTGTATATTATAATCTGTCTTAGCATCTGCTATTAGAATCATCACATAGAGAAACTAACTCAACCTATTAAGATGGCCTTGATCTTGAATGTATTCATGTGAATAGATGAATTTCTTTGTTGATAGTTTCATCTTTTAAGATCTATGGTGTTCTATACCTTCAAATATATGTATTCATACATGCATGCACACATACATACATACGTCCATACATATATTGAGTATTTATAAATGCATTCATGCATGCATGTATGGATGTATGAATATGCAGCTCTAAAAAATTCTCTGAAAATTGCATGAGTTAAGATGCCCGTCAGTGGTTGTATCAATAGATGATCATTTGATTTTACCTCTTTAAAATTAAGATGTTCTGACACATGCATCTTGTAGATGTCTATATACTCTCCTTTACTGGTGATTAGATGTGTAGTATACCATGTTGTAATGCACCTTGTTACATTTGTATTTGCCCAACATTGACTTCTATACTTTTAGGATAAGAAATATATGGTTTGAAGCTTGTGGTGAAAAGACATATCATGGTTTGCTATGCTTAATTATATTCAACAAGATTCAATATTTGAGGGTATGGGCTCAAAGGTTGTCTTTACATAGTAACATGCAAAGTCATATACTTGTAGAAACCTTGAAAGGGAGATTTTAATATGTTATATTACTTTGGGAACCAACTGATATTTACTCCTAGAGCTTAGGCATTACCCAAACCTTGCAGTTGTGCAGGCAAACATAAGTGAAGGGTCATCAACTGAATTTGCTTAAACAAAATTTGTTAGTCATTTCTGTTTTTCTTTTGGAGACTAGAACGTCAATGAGATCTATGTTACCCCAATAATGTGTTTCATGGATCATAAATTTATGCTCAGCTAATAGATTGTAAATTTCGGCTCAGCTAATGCAATTGTGATGTAATCAAATTTGAGTAAATTCATGCAGGTATGAGCCACTATCCTATCTACTTGGAAAGGAATACTTTCTTCATGCCTATGGTCCAATATACGCTCTTTCAGCAGATGTTGTTGCAAGTTTGGTTGCTCTGAGAAACAACAGGTACTCTTAATGATTTCAGATCTACGCACATTATTATCTGTTAAACCATTTCTTGGTATTTTTATTATTTCTTGTTCCATCCTTGTCTATATTAGGATTGGGGCCTTTCACTTGCGGACAATGTATGTTTGTTTCCTAAACACCCAAGTCCAACCCTTATTTTGAGCTCAGCATGCTTAGCTTGAAATGTTCCTCAAATGTTTGAACCCTTGCTTTGAATTATTTTGTCATGGCTGGCCTTGTTTCTCAAGACATCTAATATAAACTGCACGTTATGTATACTATTCCAGCTTTATATCTTTTTCCCTCCTCCTTTTGTTGTGATTAAGGAGGTTGGAGATTTCTTTTAATGGAAATTGTATTTGTTTGAAAATAAAAGTGGGATTGTATGAGGAATGCATATTCTGGAGTACACTTTGCAAGAGGTTTTTATCCTTGACAACTCCTTTTGGAACATTAGATGAAGTAATGTTACTAATGATGCTTTATCTTCAGATCTCTAATTTATTATGTTGTTTTGCCATTTTGTATGAGTTGCAGTTTTCGGATGTTTAGTAATGAAGATGTTACAATTGGTGCATGGATGCTTGCAATGAATGTTAACCATGAGGACAACCGAGCATTGTGTGAGCCAGACTGTACGGCATCATCTATTGCTGTCTGGGATATCCCCAAATGTTCAGGTTGGTGTCCATTTGAAGCTTATGAACTGGTGCACCAATAATCATTCTAAGCTCCAAGAGTCATTTATTTCTATGGACTTTAGAACAGAAAAAAAAAAAAAAAAGAGGGTTGGTGTAGAAGTTGTTCTCTTTAAAATTTACTTCTTAATCCTTGGTATGGTACATGATCCCTGAAGATTTGCTTACTGAAATAGAGATGGGTTATGTACTTCCCACACTCGTTTTACCGTGTTTCTATCAGTCATATGCTGTGTTCTAATGTTACTCTGGCAATACAGGATTGTGTAATCCAGAGACGAAGCTATTGGAACTCCATCAGAAGGATGCCTGCTCGAATAGTCCGACTTTGCCATCCGATGATGATTAGCTTTCTTAGCCTTGAACTTACACGGGTTTTGTCCAACTTGAGAAGATGTTTCTGAGAATTGCTGGCTCTACCAAGTTGATCTTGCTGCCACCAGACATATCTAAGCTTCCCTTTCCTTGTTCAATTATCTCAAGCCATTTTTGTCGTCCACAATTTCTTTTTTTTTTTTGTGTGTAGTGTAACATATAAATCTTTTTTCACCGACGATGTAAGTTGCCGAGAGATTTTTACATTACCATTCTTTTTAAAGATTAAAATGAAAACTCACTTACCTGGTTCCATTACCATTCGTTTCTACAAGTATCGTTCTCCTAAATCCAATTATCATTCAAGATTAAAATACATTCTTGCAATAAGATTATAGTTCACGAGACACAGAAACAAAAGGAAGGGTAACAAAAAGAGAGATCAGAATGTAACACACATTGGACGGAGAAAACCAAATACAATACTAGTAATCTAACGAAGCAAAAGGAGGTACAAATGCAGGATCGCAACAACAATAAAAGCATCTCGAAGCATGCCATTGCTGAGAAGAAAGCAAAACATGATCACAACAACAGTAAAAGCATATATCTAAATTGACCTGTACATAAAATGACTAGATCTCCCCAGTCCAAACAACAATCGTACCTAAAATCATGATCTTTCTTTGTGCTGCAATTGTGTATCTTGGAGCACCGTTGGTAGCATTCTCTTCAACTCGAAAGATAATTTTATCACCAGGCTTGAGGCTTTTAGCACGAGCATACTTACGCCAATTTCTTTGGAAAACAGGTTTAGGATAATCTTTGCCTTTTCTTCTAATGTAATATCCGAAATTCTCCCAATGATTGCCGGATACATCACGGACTAATAAGGACATCGTCCGTCCTCCTTCGTAACGTGGCAGATGCTCCCTGAAACCACTAGGAATTGCCATTTGCTTCTTAACATCAACCTTTGTGAGGTGTTTCTGAAAGGACCTCATAGCTGAAAAGAACCCTATAGAAAGAACTCACTTTAGCTGAATAAAAATGATTTGCTTCACTTGGACTAACATCCTCTTATCCTCCTACCTATTTATAATAGTTACGTGAACAATCATTGTCGTCAGAATTTTACTGATGATTATGTCAAGGAGGTTCGAAATCTATAACACAAGCTCCAATGGGCATGCAGGGTTGACAACATGGAGGGCAGAGAGAGAAAAAGAAAAGGGGTGCAAAGAGGCATAATGAAATGGGATGAATCAAATCAAAAGGCTTTTGACCTTTTGCATTCAAATATGGAAAGAAGTTTCATTTTGCTTTATTGTTAGGCCATAATCTTAAGACATTTCAAAGAAGTTATAATTATATGCTATACTTTACTAGAAATAAAATTAATTTTTCAAATTTTGTTAACAGACAGATAATTATGAATAGGCACAATCAGATAATATTTGTTTGAAACAAATAAAATTGTGTTTGTCGAAAAATTATCTCAATACCCTTATCTAAAATAAAAAAACACAGAAACAACAAAAGAATGCTTTTTCTTTTTTTTTTTTCAATATTTTTTAAATTTTCTTGTATCATTTTACTGTAAAAATTTTTATAAAAGTGTAGATAATCTTGCTATACATCATTAAATGCTAAATGGATTGACTTCGTTAGTACAAAATACAATCAATCACTACTTTATTGTATCAGATGTATTCTGGCTGACCTTACCCTGAGAAAATATTAATCGAAATTTATTATAAAAGTGCCTATGGAAGTCTGAGTATACTGATTTCAAACACTTCCTTCAGTTGGAATAACATAGTTAATACATATGCCTGCATATATATATATATATATATATATATATGTAATCATCATTTAGTACTAGGCGTAGTAGGAGGCGAGGAGTCTTTGTGAGTCAATGATCACCGCGATCAAATTAAAGGAAAATGGTAGGAAGGCTGCTGGCTGATGAAACAAATAATCTGCCCAAGATTCTTTTTGGTAGGGAAAAACTCACTCCCTTTTCTATTTATATTTTTATTGCCTTTCTAGTCAATAATTGCTTCTTTTGACTAGGTGAGCAGTCTTTTATATTGAGATAATTTGGTAGTTTCATTTTATTATCAAAAGATTATTATATTTATTGGGCCGGAAAAAATGTTCTAGTAGATTGATACATGAACTTTCAAATAAATTTAAGATTAAAATTTGTAAATTAATTTTAATATACATTAATCAATTTAAAATAACATAATGGACATTTCCACTCTTTTTTATTGGTGGAGAGGATCGTTACTTAAATTTAATTAAATAAATAGTGATTGAGATAGAAATACATTTTTTCAAATTAAAGTGAATTTCTATGATCATGTACAATTTTTTTTTTAAAAAAAAACTGAATTCTTAATTTCTTATTAGAAATGAGATATGAGATGTTAAAGCATACAACGCTTATAGATTCAAACATTAAAAATTTCTTTTGCTTATACTTAAGCAGCTTCATAATTAAAAATTTTATATATTTACATATTTGAACATTTGAACTTTTGATTCAATGATCGACACATGTATTCTAACGTGTTGAATAGATTTCATGTGGACATTGTATTCATGTTGGTGATATATACCCGATCGAGAGTTCCTCAAAATGCACATAAATCTGACTTTAGATCATCTCCCCTAAACCAGCAGTCTGTTTAATGGTCTTTTAATGAATTTAATATGAACTGAGGCAGCGAGTTACAAGGGTTAGAATTTTGAAATAAAAGTGAAATTAAAACAAATAGTAATTGAAAAGGGAGTTTGGATTAAAAAGGATGTAGTTTTAGTTGAGTTTTGTATGTATAATTAATGATTATCAATTATTTATTAAATAAGATTTATATTTTTTTTAAAAATATATTATTTTATAAATTTAATTAATTATTAATTTATATTATTATTTTTTAATTGAGATTAATTAAAAACAATATTTAATTAAAATTATTAATTTTTATATATTATATTATATTATATTTGTTATCAAGTGTTCTTATTTAATTAAGGTTGTGTTTGATACATTACCGGAAATATGATTATTGAAATGTGATTGTTGGATATATAACTGTTAAGAATATAATTTTATAACGTTTGCTAATTATAGAGAATGTAATGTAAATTAATAAAATTATCTTTATATATAAATATATATATATTAAATAAATTTATAATTTTTAATATAAAATTTAATTTTTTAACTTTAAATAATAAAAATAATAAATAATAATATTTAAAAAATAACATAATATTTTTATTTTTATAATTAATATGTTACTTAAAAATAATTATTTCTCGTAATAATATCTAAAATTATTACAATAATAATAAAATGTTTTTAAAGAGATTTCTATTTTTTTTATCTTTGAACTTATTTGGTTGAGGATTAATGAATTTCACTGGAATTTATGTACAATAAATTTTTTTATAAATAAAATAATATTTTATAAGTTTAATTCAATATAATAATAAAAAAATAAAAAATTATTTTAAAAATATGAAATGGGTTTCTTCTTTTTCAAAATTCTAACCAATTTCCATGAGGCAAAAATATTTGTCCTTTTCGTTTTCTTTTCCCCTTGCTCTTTAATCCTCTTTCCCTTTCTCCTTTCTTGTTGGGTTTAGGCTTACATTATGAATGAATAGTTTTGCTATACAAGGGTTTCTTGATTTTTATGTCTTGTTAGACTAGAATTTTTGAAAGGCTGAGTGAATTTCTAGTCCTTGCAGATGGCTTTTTTGTGTTTCCAAGACAGTTTTCTTGACTGAAGGAGATTAAATTGCTCCTGATGCTTTTAGCTCTTCAAAAATTAAAAAAAAAATTGAAGAATTGGGAAAAAAAAGTTATATGGCTTTCCCTTTGCAAAAGGAAAGTTAGATTGTGTCCGTGAGCAATGAGAATCACATTCCCTTTGATCATTGTAAGCAAGTTGTAATGAAAAGACAGTCTCTTGAGCTTTTCGTATACCAAATGCTGAGATGTCTTGACTAGTGTGAAAGGGAATCAGCATGTGAATGATTTGTTTGGACGCTCTTCCAAGATACTGCAGTGGGTGGTTTTTTCAGGTTTGGGATGCTTGTTCCTGAGATGGGCTTTTTTGGGTTCTGTGGCTTTCTGGATTTCACCTCCTTTTGCTGGGATGATTGTGTTTGGATGACCCTTTGGGGGCTGATTGTGATCCAGGTTTTTTATAGAGATTTATGCTTTTGGATTTCTTTAATTGTTCAGAGTACGTATATATTTTGTACTGGACAGTTTGCTGCCTGCTTTGTGCTTAGGTTTAGGAGGTTATGCTGGTATATTGGAAGGGTGCAGGGAGTGTTTTTTGTGTGTGTTGTCTTTGAGGGCTACTAGCAAGCCACAGGGAGGCCAGGAATCCCATCCATTTTGTATAGATTTTTGGTTAAAGGGCATGGAGTGTTGATCCAGGGAGGTTACCTTCTAAGTGAAGAGCAACAAAGTTGAACTGCTTGTTTCTTTTCAAAGAGATAAACCAGTTTGGTTTCCTCTGATCTGAATATATTACTAACTTTTAAAAAAAAAAAAAAAACTCACTTACCTGGTTCCATTGCCTATTGTAAAATGTACTATGCTACAAGTATATCGGTTCTCAAATTTTGCTATTGTTTAATGAGTTTTTTGCTACTTGCCAGCATGTATCTATCTCCCTTGTAAAATGCTTAATCCAATTATCATACAGACATGAATATATATTCTTGTAACAAGATTATATATAATGGAGGAGACAGAAACAAAAAGAAAGACATGAAATTTGACACACTTATAATATTGATTTACATGTCTAAAATTTGCAATTGCAATTAGATATTGATCGTAAAGAAAAAGTTATGAATGGAAATGATAAGTGTAATGAAAAATATTGATCAAAAGATTATTGAAAAGAGAGTTTCAGATATATACCAATAAGCAGAATTGAGAGTTTGTCATTAATTTGTTGAATAAAATATATTATGAAAGAGAATCTTGAAGGTGAAGAATCCCACTGCTAGAAAGGCTTTTTACCTTTTGCATTCAAATATAGAACAAGTTTCATTTTGCTTTATTATTAAGCCATAATCTCGAGACATCTCGAAAAGTTCCGATTATAAATGGCATGTCGAAATTCAGCTATACTTTATTAGATTCAACAGTAAAAGGTAAAAGTATTAAACATTTTTTTATGTCCATTTTATTACGCTATCTATAATCAATAAAAAAGATAAATAACAAATTCACTCAAATTAATTATAAAAGAATATCTTTTACAACTGTTTTTAATTTATTCCCAAAATTTTGTCATTATTTTTGTACTAGGTTAGGCCTAAGCTTACCACTATGAAGAGGTAATCCTTCCTCTTTGTGTTTTTCACTGTTAATAGAAAAGCAAACAAAGTCATAATATATTGATGTGCCAAAAAACGATCACTATAACTAGAAAGCTAAATTTAAAAACAATAAACCTTGACAAAAGAAAATGATTAAATTACTATAATATTTGGATGAATTAAAACTTGTATCATAAAGATATGTATGGTGTGACTGTTAAAATCATTGAAGTTTTTAACTTATTTTATTAAAGTTTTTAACTTATAACGTGCTCTTGCTTCTCAAGAAAGGCCCCATTATCTAGAATCAAAAGTATGCAAGAAGAATTGAAATAGAGAGTGGCAGCGAAAAGGGTAGCGCGCCACACACGGCCAACACTTTTAGGACATTATCGAATATCCAAGTTGATTTGATGTTATCCTTGTCATTTTCATCTACCAACCTTTCTTGCCATTAGAAAAGATATACCAGGGCAGGATCCAGTTTTTAATTCGTTGAATGTATTAAAAGTATTGGATTGGATTGGATAATTTCGTGAGGGTGACTATGATGAATATGTCTAATAAAATTGGCAAATTATGGTGTTTTCTTTTCTTTTTTTTTTTTAATTTTTTCAAAACTTGAAGTTATTACGTCACG